ATGAAAGACGTTAAAAACATAAACAGCGGATTCAAAAAACTCAAGTCAAACAGAACACAAGAATACTACCCCACATGGAAGCCAGTCGAAGTCGTCGAAGAACGAACACAGTTGACAGCTGTAGGTCACGTGCAACAACAGACACGAGGAGCATGGCTGCTCTCCAAATGGGTCCCTTCTTTTGTATTGACCCCCTAAGGATTGCTAATCCCCCTTTCTAACTCTTCCCCCAAAAATAATATATCGCCCCTTTTAAAATGTATTGACCCACAAATTAATGAATATTCATGAGCACAGAAACTGCTACGTCATGAATAAATTAGCATAATTTTTAAAAAAAATTGCATAAAGTGTAGGTACTCCTTCTGGAGCTCTGCCAAAAATACTAGTAAGCCATCGGTTTCCAAATTTGTTAGCGAAAAAAATATACATTAATAAATGTACACAAAAATATACTGCAATTTGTTTAATTCCACCATGAACAACTAAATTGAACATATTTTTGGCAAAAGCATTCCTTTCATCTTTATAAATATTTCTAAATTTTAGTTGAAATACAAGTTGAATCCAACTAGCCAATCAGTGAACATAATGCACAATGATGTCATTTGAAAACATTCCAATTAGCCAATAGAAGCCTCTTGCTTTTAGTTTGTAAAATTTATAAATAATTATAAAGTTGAAGGGAATGCTTTGACTGCGTCATAAATATGTTCAATTTAGTTGTCGTTGTTGCACTGAGAATAATAAAAGTACAAAATTCAGAGAAATCAATGGAAAGAAACATAATAAACGTAATGTCAAACCATTATGAAAGAACTGGCTGCTGTTATGCATTCCTCATAGGATTTTCATAATACATGCAAGACTCGCTATTCAAAGTTAAAGCGCGGTGGTCGTCGCGCAGCGCGTGTTGGAATTTCATGTAAATAAACAATGTATTTTACACTCATTGTATACGTCACAATGATTCCCATATCGAACAGGACGCGGCACGACGACTGCCACCCTTTAATTGTAATACAAATAACCTTTCAACACTAATGTGGCCAATGAAAAAAAAATCATTTTCATTCCTATAACCCAACCTACCCTATTACTGGTAGTTATTATATTTGAGAAAATGTCATAAAATTGTGGCAGGCTTTAAATATGATTTTATAGAAATTCAATGTTGCAGTTTTAGTGTAAGGAACAATATGGCGATGATAGTAATTGCACAAGATGAGTGTAATAGTTTTTGGAGAGTACCGGGGTAGGTTCAGGGTCGGTATTTTTTTATCATGGTTTGGAGTTTGAAAATTTGAAAATAATAATTAATTACCAGCATAATATTCAAAATGGTGACATATACTGAACTCTGCACCAATGTCCATCCAGCACAGGTTACACAAATGATGATGTATGACACCTTCTTATCTACTTAATATTGATAAATACAGTTTCATGACATGGGTATGGTCGTAAAGAGATGTTCAGGAAGTTTTCATGTGAGGACACTTTCTATGCGTTAGCATACACTATGTTGTAACTGCCATGTATTTACAAATAATTAAGTCATTGACCCCTTTTTTAATTTTTTTCCAAAATATAGTTCTTGAAATCAAAAAATACTTTCATAATTCAAAAGATCATGTTTGACTTCAAAGTCCAACTGTTAAATGAATGGCAATATGAATGCTATGTTCAAAAAGAATAGTCTATTATACAGGAGGGGGTGAAAAAAATACAATTTTGTTATACCGTAAAATCTGTATTAGAAGCCGCATCCCTAATAGAAGTCGCACCCATTCTTTTTGAATAATTGAGAACCAAAAATTCGTCATTTCTCATATGTGTAGATGCTCTAATAGAAGCCTCATCCCCTCTATTGCATTGTACCATTTTAATAGAAGCCACGGTTTCTAATACAGATTTTACAGTAATATTATTTCTTGTATAGAGAATGCAACTTTTAAATTATTTATTCCAGACATCTGTTCCTGCTGTGTCCAGTGCAAGACTTATACACAGAGAACCCTTGCATCCGGAATGGAGAGAGTTGGGAAAAAAGCAGTTGAAAGGAGCTGATCCTGTGGAAAAACTAACATGGCATACCCCCGAAGTAAGTATGCTCACATTACATATGTGGAGAATCTCCAATTCATGACCGTGTGATAAGTAGTAATTTTCTTCTAATATCTTCTGAGCTTTTGGAATCGAGCCTACAAAAATTAATAAGCAAGTTTAAACTTGACACACATTTGTTCACGAAGCTCTCTCATTCGCACAATGTGTGCAACAATAATAAAAATCATCTTAAAGTATTCATACTAGTTCATGGCAACTACACAATCATGCATGTTGGCTAGTTTAACTTTTCCTTTAATACAAATTGAAGATCCTATTTATCTCATGTTTGCATTTCATAGCTTTATGTCGCCATAAATAAATTTGAATCTCTAGCTCTGTGAGTGTC